GGAAGAGGGGGTTCTTCCATCTGGCCAGGCTCTGTGGGGAGAGAGACAGGGTACTGGTGAGGTTTCAGAAGAGAAACATGGAATGTGGGATGAATTCGATACTGTGAGGGGAGTTGGAGTTTGAAGGTGACCGGGTTTACTTGTTCCAGGATGGTGAAGGGGCCAACAAATCTGGGACTAAGCTTCCTACAGGGCAGGCGCAGTCTGATGTCCCGAGTTGACAGCCATACCTTCTGACCTGGCTGATAAGTAGGTGTTTCGGCTCTTCGAAGGTCTGCACCCGTCTTCTGCCTGCGCACTGCCCATTGGAGATGGTGGTGAGCAGCGTCCCAGACCCTCTCGCTTTCCCGGAACCAGTAGTCAACCGCCAGAACATCAGAAGTTTCCCCAGACCAGTGGAACAGTGGAGGCTGGAACCCGAGCACGCACTGGAAGGGAGTGAGACCAGTAGAAGGCTGTTGCAGGGAATTCTGGGCGTACTCAGCCCAGCCCAGGAACTGGTTCCAGGAATCCTGGTGACCATGGCAGAAGGTTAGCAGAAATCGTCCCACTTCCTGAATCTTCCTCTCCGTTTGCCCATTTGATTGTGGGTGGTATCCGGACGAGAGGCTTACGATCACACCTAGGAGTCTGAAGAAGGCATTCCATACTTTGGAGATAAACTGAGGGCCCCTGGACATCCTTGCACGAACCTTCTCACGTGCCTTGCCATATTGGGCCACCAGAAGCGATCTCGTAGCAGCGAGAGGGGGTTGTTGGCCCCTGGATGGCCAGTGCCTCGGGAGGAGTGAGCAGAGTGAATCAGTGGGGTGTGCTGTATCCGTGGTACATACTGGCATCCTGGAGGACAGTTGGGAGCCGTGTTGGAGGCCACTGAAGGGGAATTCCATTCGATGGGACTGACGATCGTCTTAGGTGGAATGATACTTTCCGGTTCTTCTGGGTATACGAGACCGGACAGTGAGGGTGTCTGAGGTGTGTGCTTTTATGCAGGCTGGTAATGAGGTGCTTGATTGGTGACAGGTGCAGGTGCTCAGAACTCAGGTGAGAGGGATCGTTGTGATTGGGTGGTGGCGGAGCCTGGCTGATCTGTTACAATTGCGACAATAACTTCAGTTATTTCAACCCTCTACATTGTTTTTTAATAGAAACGCTAAATGACAAACATTATCTTAAACACCAACACCAGTCCTAAGTTCAGTTAAAATGACAAATATGCATTCATACATGGTTATTCTAATTACTAAAGTTCTATCACCATATAATGCTTAATTTACATCATATCATATTATAATGCTTGACTGACTGATGTTAAGTGTACTTTCAGATATTTTAAAAGTTGTGCCATTTTACAAACATTAGCTTTATATATATATATATATATATATATATATATATATATATATATATATATATTTTATTATATATATATTTTTGTATTCTATATGCATTCTATGCATATGCATTTTTCCCCCTAATTAACTATGACCAGTCTCTCATCACTGGAAGTTGTACAGGAAGTTTGCAGACGGTCACTGATTCTCGCTGCACACTTGATTCTGTATTCAAGCACTGCAGGTCAGCGCTATAGCAACAGAGAGGCGTGGCCAGTGACCTCAGCAGAGCTGATTATAGCCACTGTTGTAATAGTGTGGCTCCGCCCACTCCACCTGTCATATAATGTATATATTATAGTATATCAAATATTTAATATTAGTCTGGCGAGTAAACTAAAAAATGTACTAGCCAATGGTGATTCTGTTGCCAAGGTGTCCGTAGAGGGTTGTATTTGCTTGGATAATGATTCTCAGTTTCTTTCTTCTCTCTCACATGCACACAGGAGGCAAACGTCAATGTACAGATATAAATTAAAGCAAAGAAAAGTTTCAGTTGAAAAAAAGGGGGGAGGCAGATGGAGGTTGTGGTTGATGGTGGCTAATGTAGGATTTAATAGTCAAAGCGCACCACCTTCATGCTGTGGTGAGAATAAAATGCTTTGTGCCAGCAGGAGTAAAACCTCAGCTGTACACTAGTCCCAGAAAGCTCTCACACAGATGGTGGGAAAGAGAGAGAGGGTTATCTGTTCCACAAAAACTTCATGATTAAAAAAAAAACTGGGGATGGAAATGGAAAAGGAAAAGTTCAGCAGCCCTTCTGAAAGGTTGACTGAATCATGACAAATTTGTCTTTTTGCAGAATCACCGCTGTATTTTCCTGTTCTCTTCCACCATTAGCCTCAACCCTACAGTGCCTGTAGATTAGGGTTGTCAAAAGTACCGAATTCGGTAGCAGTCGGTACTGAAATGTGTGTGTGTAACAATCCGCTCTCAACAGCTCAAAATGCAAGCAGGAAATGCTGGTATTGTCCCATTTTTAAAGTTTCAATACCAACCGGTACCGAAGTCGGTACTTTTGACGACCCTACTATATATATATATATATATATATATATATATATATATATATATATTTGCATTTCATCCTTCCTGTCTATCCATATATATCCGTACATACACACAAAATTACTGACATATTACCAGTCCAAAAACATTAACACAAATGCACAGCCAGAATTGTTTCATTAATATCATGTAATCACACCATTTAGATTTAAACTGACTCATATGTTTACCATGATTAATGGCTAGTAGCTGGTGGGCAGTAGTGATGAGAAGACCCTTATCTAATGGGCAGCTTGTTTTGGTTTAGGAAAAGTGTGTGACTGTATTCTGGCATCAAACAGATGGCATCGGATTCTGTCTGTCTGGCTGTCTGACTCACTGGCATCTGCTCCAGCTGGCATGGCAACTCACATTGGCTCAGACTGGCACCTCTGTGAGATGATTTCCTCTGAATAGGTAAACAAGCAAAATTCAAGGTCCTACTGCCAGTGTGTGCCCAACAGCAAGGATAAGCTCAGCTTCTCCTTTCACATGTATCCTTTTGGCCACACCAAAGCTCACACCATCTCTGTTGGTGACATTGATATTTCAAGGTGAAAAGAAACCTGCTGGTTGGACTGGAGGCTGAACAGATTGATTATTTTTATATTTCTATGTTGAATTTCGGTCAACCAACTCTTTTATTTATCTTAGAATTCACAGACATAACACAAGTATCAAATGTACATGTTTCTACAGGGGTTGCTTGCCACACAATAGGGTTTCTTCCTGCTCAAATTACTATTAAGTCATCCCAGTGGGCAATAATCATCTTATTAATTAAAAATCTAAAATAATGAAGTAAATTAGCAAGATGTCCTTCAGGATAATTAATGCTCAAGTCACTGTGTCACCAGTATTGTCACAGTGGACTCTGGATGCTTAAGAATTCATTCATAATTAATACTTCCTCCCATCAGTTTATTAGAATTTGGTGTTTTTTATGAAACTTTAAACATGAAAGACCTCACAAAGCAACCTTAGAATAAACAGGAACACAAGATTGATTGACATTTCTGTGAAATTTAACACTGCAATTTTGAATTTTAGTCAGAAGGACAATTAAATGTACTCAAAATAAGACGATGGAATGCTGTGCAAGACAGAGATCAGGTCCATTTAAATTTCTTCTGTGTTGAAGAGAGGAAAATCACTTCACAGAAACCGAGCCACTAGAGAACTGCAGGATTAATTAACATAGTCTAATGAATCATTTGTATGTGCCACATGCACTGACAGGTCTTAAGTGACCCGAAGTGTGTTTTATTGATCTCAGACAGGGAGAATAATTTATCAACATATTCCAAACAAAATTCCATCACCAAACACAGTTCATCATAATGCCTTGTGCTTCATTGCATCTTGTATCAATGCCACATGCACTATTCAGATCCTTGTAATTTTAATCAAAACATAGGCTGGAATATTTGACAGTCAAATGGAGTAAAATAATAAAATTATTTTGCAGGTGTAACATTATTATGCCCATAAGCAAAACCCACAGTGGCTCTACAGAGTCGGTGTTGTTATCAGCAACCAAAACTAAAAAAATTAAAAATAAATTTTCTATAAAAAAACGTAAATAAAATTATGAACATTAGATGAAAAACGTATCAGAAATGTTGCTTTGGCAAATTACTAGAACAAAAATACAAAAATTACTAAAACTGACACTGAAATAAAAATAAGGCTAACTAGATATATCCACCGGAACTGCTTCAGTGTATGACCGTCTGCGGAAGTGAGAGAAAAGTGTTTATTACATTTGAAATATGGATATTTTTCTTACAAAAACAAATGGATTTGCTACAGGGGGCCTTTATTCATCCCCCGGAGCCGTCTGCGGCACGTTTTATTATGAATGCGCAAGCTTTATTTGACGACTTGTGGACTGTTCAACTGCAACACCCGCTGACTGCAATGATAGAGCTTGGAATAGCCAGGACAATTTTTAATATAACTCCAACTGGATTCGTCTGAAAGCAGAAAGTCATATACACCTAGGATGCTTCGAGGGTAAGTAAAACACTTACAGTAAAAATTTTCATTTTTGGGTGAACTAACCCTTTAATAAATACTATAATTGTATATAAATAATACTAAATTAACATATTACACAATACACCTTCTGTAGCTTCGGATACAAAGCATATGCTAAATATGGTCTCCTCTAAGAGTTCAGCATTTTGATGTTTTTTTTCCTAATCTGTAACATTACTGTACAAACATAAAAAGGACCTGACTCAGTCTCAGGAGTGACTCTTGATGCCCTGAAGGTTGGCACTGAGTGTGCTAAAACAGTTTTCATATATAAAATGAAAACATTAATAATGTTCTCTGTAGCGCCATTTGGACATTTTGAGTTATTACAGGACCTGTTTATATGTGTGTCTGAGGTTTTATCTGTCATTCTCTTCCATTTAGTTAAGGTTGCTATGGTTTTATTTCTCACTTGTGCAAATATTTCCTCATCATTCGTGTCCCATGATTCAAACAATGCCTAATAATGTCTAGGCAATCACTCAAAATGCATATGTTCCAGAAATTAGCTAGACTCACCCAAATCACATCCTCTTGTCTATATGGTCTCCAGGTTTGTTCAGAGTCACTGTACTGTAGCTGGTACCGAGTAACCCAGTCAGAGCTGCCCCACCGACCCTGGGTAGCAATGGATGTGACCTTCAGCCTGTCTCGTAGGTCTAGCTGTAGCCAAGATTGTTGGTCGCCTCCATTCGGAGACCATCCCCCACCACCTACGGGGACAGATTAAGAGCCAGTGCCTTAAAAAATGGCAGAGGAATGAAACAGAATTGGGGCGTAATTCTCCCTACAATTCAAGCACGCACTAAGATTTCATACTCTTGTTCATCATGCTGACAGGACTGAAGCTTAGTGGTCAAAGTAAAAAAATATTGAATTAAATTTGTTCCAGCAGTTTTGTGGCTCAGCATCTCTCTTTTTGAGATCAAAATTACCAATCCATCCCTAGAGGACAGCAGACAGACCTCAGTGCAATATAATATTACAGTGGTTAAAAAGGCAATTTGGAAATTACACAGCATATTTCTACACTTGTATGTCTAATTGTAGTTCCCTTTCATGGGAACTTCGAACTGCGTCCTCTAGGGGTCGCTATGGGGAACGCCTCGTCGTGACCCGTGTCTGAAGCATACATTGAAAAAACACCAACTCGTTGGCCGGCGACAGCCATGACGTCACTACCGGTGCGACTCCAGTATAAATCGGCGCCGGGAGCTACACATCATTCTCTTCTTCGTCTTCATTGACTGTTCTGTTTGAAGCGTGCATTTTCAAGGAAAAAGTAAGAGCTATCTATTTATTATGGCGAGCACTAGTAGAGCATTTAGAAGGTGTGTGCATCCGTGTCAGCGCTAGTTGACACCAGATGACACACACGATTTATGTGTTGTTTGTTTGGGCGAGGAGCACGCACGCGATGTCCTCGAGGGGGCAATCTGCGTGCATTGCGAGTTTTTTCCAATGAAAAAACTCCGTTCTCGTTTGTCTCTCTTTTCAAGTAAAGAGGGGCAGCCATCTGCTTCCCGCGGTTCAGGACCCTCCGCTGCTGAGGCACGGAGGAGAATGAGCTCGTGGGGATCTCAGGGGGACCTGGCCGATGAGTTTAGAGAGGGGCTTTCCTTCTCGCGCTCATCGGCGGGGGGCGAGAGACAGCCACTGGAGGATGATGTTCTCTCTTTAACATCATCTGATCCAGGGGCCAGTGCTCTGCTGGGTTCAGCCCAGGAAGAGCAGGAAATGGATGATGAGAGCGAAGAAGCTGAGGCTGAGCCTTCTCAATCCTCCTGCCCTGCGTATGATGAGCTCTTAGAGGTTATGGATCGCGCCACGGCAAGACTTGACTTGCCATGGAAGCGGACTAAGGAAGTGGCGTCGCGAGGTCGTCTCGACGAACGTTATCTTTCTGGCCATAACCCTCCAGCTCAGGTGAGTCTTCCTTTCCTTCCTGATCTCCATACTGAGATCGAGAAGGAATGGAAGAAGCCGTTTTCCTCACGCATCCATCGGTTTCAGCATACCAGTTATGCGAATATCGAGGCGGTGCGCGAAAACGGCTATGAGAGAATGCCCCCTGTAGAAGAGACGCTAGCTAGCTATCTCTCTATGGGAGAGACATCATCTCTCAAAACTCCCTCCTTGCCATCCATGCCTCTTCAAGCTACATCTAAAATGAATGGCAAGGCATACGCAGCAGCAGGTCAGGCTGTTGCTTCACTGCACACGATGGCGGTGCTCCAAGCATACCAGGCTGATCTGCTGAAAGACCTGGATAAAGGCGAGGGCCTTTCTTCTGATGAGATGGCTGAGTTACGCCGCACCACGGATCTTGCTCTTCGTGCTACTAAGCAGGCTGCCTCTGCCATGGGCAGATCTATGGCAGCGATGGTAGTAACGGAGAGGCAGCTGTGGGTAAACCTGGCAGACATCGGGAAGAAAGAAAGGGGTTTTCTTCTCGATGCCCCGGTTTCGCCCTCTGAACTTTTTGGTACATCCGTTGAGGCGGTCGTCGAAAAGTTCAGGGAGGCGAAGGCACGCTCAGCGGCCTTCAAAACCTTCATTCCACGAAGGTCCAGGTCTGAGCCCGAACAAACCAGGGGTCCTGGCCCGTCTCGATTTGAGGATCAGAGACGAGCACAGAAGGCTAGTGTCGCGACTCGCGCTCCTCCTCCGCCTGCGGGTAGGGGTAGGAAGTATCGTGGGTCGAAGGGAGGTAGGCAAGACCTGAGGGATGTGATCCAGACAAGGCGTCAGAGCTTTCGTCCGGATCAGAGTAATACTTAGGTATCCACTCTTTCCCTCAGGGGATGTAACATCTACCCCGTTCTATGGTTAATCATAGTAACCACCTTACTGAAGGTCCGGTCTAGAGGCTTTCCGGACAGAGCTCCAACGCGGGAGCCGTGGTGGGTGAGTACGATCCATGTCTAAATATATGTATATAAATATATGTATGTGCTATGGAACTGGTGGTTGTGTGTACCCTTCTGCTAGTTTCTTTGCAGTGTTTCCCGTGCTGGGTTCAGAAACCGGGTGCTCGACTTGCAGTGTTTATTTCACTCGTCGAGATATGTCCAGAAGGTAAGTAAGGTTTCGGTTTCATACTTCCTGGATCATGCGGCTATAACACAGGCTTCTGCGGGAGTTTTGTGATTATCAGGCCCCCGGTGTCACTGCAAAAAAATTTCCTGGACGTCCGGGCTGGGGTTTACGCTTTCATGCTACCCTGACTGGTCTACCGTATCCGGGTCGCCCTGAGGGGTTTTTCCCGATCACCAGGATATCCCCTTGAGGCATCAACCCCCCTCACCATTGAGGGTTATTGTGAGTATGATGTTTCTTTCGAGCGTTAATCCTCTCTGAGGAGTTAGATTCCTCGCTCCATGGGCTGTCCTCATGGTAGTATTGAGACAATGCTCCCCTTTTATCAAAAGGGTTACCTGGAATGAGAGTTTACCCCTTACCCCTCTGATTTTTCAATCATGCTGCAGGTCGAGCTCCCTCTCGTTGAGAGCTGGGTTTGTGCTCCCTCAGCCAAGGTAAACTACTGCTAGCGTTCCTGCATTGGAACATGCTGTAGGCCGAGCCCCCTTCTCGACTGAGAACTAGGTGTGTTGCCCCCACAGCTAAGTAAACTATTGCTAGCTGTTCCAGTGCGGAACATGCTGCAGGTCGAGCCCCGTCTCGGTTTGAGAACTGAGTGTGTTGCTCCCTCAGCTGAATAACTGCTAGCTGTTCCACCATGGGAACATGCTGTAGGTTGAGCTCCCTCTCCATTGAGAGCTGGATGTTCTCCCCCAGCTACAGATTTACTGCTAGCCACTCCAGCATTATAGCCGTAGATATAGCGTCTGGGGATACGCTATTTTTATCTATAGGCTGCCTTTTCAGGGTGCCACGAGAACCCCTAGAACGGTATGCAAGTGTAGTGCACGTTATGCTTTGCCCACTTTTCTAAAATCCACATAAGTGGTAAGTGTGCACGTTATGCTTTGCCCACTTTTCTAAAATCCACATAAGTGGTAAGTGTGCACGTTATGCTTTGCCCACTTTTCTAAAATCCACATAAGTGGTAAGTGTGCACGTTATGCTTTGCCCACTTTTCTAAAAATCCTGTATGGTAAGAGCTACGCGCAAGACTTCGTGCTCTTTTTGAGTGGTTTAAAACCCCGGTTCTGCCTTGGGCACCACTCCCCCTATGTATCCTCTGGATACCTACTTAACAGGGTATTGCTACTAAGGATCTGTTGAGACAGTTCCTTCACCACAAGACAAACGTGCGGTAGCCCCTGTGTGACAGACCAAGACTAGTATGATTCTAGGCTCTTGGTCGTATTCCCTTAAAGGAATCTGTTTCTGATTCCAAGCCTTGAGCTCTACCCCGGGCCCAGGAGTCTGGCCCTAACAGGTAAGTAGTTTGGGGTATGTAGCCTAGGCCTTTGGCCGTAGGGAATAACGTCACTGACAGCCGTCTAAACGTCCCAGGGGCAACTCCCATAGCAATATGGTAGAGTTGGTTCTTAGTGCTCGCCATGGTTCTGGCTTGCACTCCCCTCAGCATGGCGGCGTGGGTATACCGTTCCCCATAGCGACCCCTAGAGGACGCAGTTCGAAGTTCCCATGAAAGGGAACGTCTCAGGTTACTTATGTAACCATGGTTCCCTGAGTAGGGAACGAGACACTGCGTCCTCTAGGTTTCTTGCCATGCTGCGGACGCAAGCTTCAGACGAAGAAGTGAACGATGTGTAGCTCCCGGCACCGATTTATACTGTAGTCGCACCGGTAGTGACGTCATGGCTGTCGCCGGCCAACGAGTTGGTGTTTTTTCAATGTATGCTTCAGACACGGGTCACGACGAGGCGTTCCCCATAGCGACCCCTAGAGGACGCAGTGTCTCGTTCCCTACTCAGGGAACCATGGTTACATAAGTAACCTGAGACGTTTCT